AATGATTATTAATGGAAACATCGATTTGGAATATTTTTTAAAAGTATTACTGCCTACATTATTTTTGTACAAAATATATTGCATCAAATAAGTAGTGTTCCTTGATGGGAAATTATTAGTAAATTTCAAAGTCAACAATGTTTTGTAAATCAACACCAAATTGCAAATCTTATTGACGAATTCAAATTTCTGTTCAACAGAGAGAAGAAACAGTTCTAAATCAAGAAAAATTTTATTGGATATCGGGTGCCCCATAATGCCAAAGTATTATACAGACCTGAGCTGCAACGCTACCTAGCGGCACCAGTTCGAAACGCTTGTTTCTAACGGTTTCAAACGCGGGAAGAACGTTCGGTTAGACTCTCGAAAAATTAAGGAAAAAAAAGGATTCCAAACAACGTTTCGAATACTTTAAACGGTGAGAAATCGAGCTCTTGTCTTTTCTGATATAACTCAATAATAAATTAACGAGTGTCGATGCAAAATATCCCATATTTATTCACTCGATCAAACTTGGCTATCTGTCTTTACAATGTAACGCCATTCAGGTAGTGATTTACGATCGTCAAAACCCCAGGACGACTTGACCCAGCGGTTTGTTTTTAAATTTTATGACCTGTGTATGTCAAGCATTGGAAAATTCAAAACCGACCGCGTACCCAAAATATATTCAATGTCATTGCTCCTCGTTTATCGTGTCAGTCTTTCGTTATCCTCCGTACGATACGTACAGGGCGGTTCGTTCCCATTAACATTTACATTTATTTTCTTTTTAAATTAGTGCGTGAGTGTGTGTGTGTGTGCAAGATGATTGGGAAAATGACGATGATGACTGGTAACATCGAGGATGCGGTTGAAATCGGATCAGCTAGCAGATTTTCGTTATGATGGATGAACGCCGAAACCGGTGAGTCAAATTTCTTTTATTTCTGACGCAATATGGCGTACGGCGGGAAAATCCGTCTGTTAATTGGTGATTTGAAATTCTTTCAAGCTTCACTATGCTTTCTGCACATTTAATTGTTACTGGAATCGAATGTAACATGCAACTATTTTATTCTCGTAAAATTGCTGCTTTATATTTATAATTTTTTAGTGTCTATTTATTAGAAATTTTGTGTTAGAAAATTTTGTTTTTTCCTCTTATTGTAAATTTTGTTTCCATTTCAGTATTTTGAAGTAGTTTAAAATATCAGTCATTCAAATTAAATTGGTAAAATTGATAAAAAGTATAAAGCGATAATAAAGAAGCCATGTTATGTTTATGGTTACAAGATTTATTACGTTTTCGTTATTTACACAAGTTCGTTGTAAAGTTCTGTTGACAAGGGTCCAGAGAAACGTTGCGGGACCTAGGTAGTTTCGCGTGTCCTTAAAAAAAAGTCTCTATACAGGCATTTTCGTCCCCAATGTCGCTATGAACCAATGCCCACGTAAACCACGAGCGAACAATAACACGCTCGTTTGTTAATTCGTTCGTCGGGTATTTCCAATCCGCGACGGTAGTCCTACGGACTGTCGATCGCACGACGTTATTGCACTCGATTATAAATTTGATGAAACATAGTATCGCAGAATTTTATAACTAAATAACCGAAGTACTTTACACCATCATTAATCTTAATCCTCAAGGACAACTAGTAGGAAGAAGTCTTGTATTTTTCTAAATTTTTTTACTCGAAAAACCTTTTTTTCCCTACTTAATTATTAATTAAAAATATAAAATTATTAAAGATAAAGAGAAAGTCTGCTGTTGCCTTTTCAAATTACGAAAAAAAGGTATGCAGTGTTCACGGTCCGTGTCCTTGAGGGTTAATGTACCAATCAGGGGAGATTAGTTAAAATTTGTTCGAATATATTAGAAACAATTTTTAGAAATATCCTGTAAATATCAAGGAATTGTTCCATGGTGTCTTCGAAAGAAAACGAAAGAACAAAAATTCTTTGAAAATTAGTCATTCTGAGAATACGATGTTCACACATAGAATTAGTTGGCAAAGGCCAGTCCGCGAGAGTACGACCGTCGCCAGCACGTAATCGTCACCGTAAATCGAATCGAAAAAATTTTTTTTTCACTCCTTTTGATCCTTCTCGAATCCATAGGTTACGAGTTACAGTTTGCGTGTTCCTCCATGTTGTCGCATTCATTAAAATGTAAATTTTACGATCTGTACCCACCACCACGTTGGACCCAGTTACGCGGACTGCGATTCCGCAGTTTATTCTCTCGTTTCGCGACGATTAAAAGCTAAATGACGCTCCCACGCGACGGTAATCCCAATTCTCTCGATTCGAAGTCGCGAGGCACACTAAGAAACTCATCTGGATTATTATTGGTCCGTAAAAATCCATTCCTAACGGTTTAGTTTCGCGAATGAATCGAAAAAATGGCGGGAAACCTACCGTGGCACTTCCGGTTTCAACGGACAAACTTTTTTGGAATTTGTAAGGCCTTGGAATTGGAATAGAAATCTTTAAAAATTTCGTTGAATTTTTAGTGATTTATAAAATTGCGTAATTTGGAATTTTTGATAGACCTCGAGGTGACCTTCAGTCGACCTTGACTAGATCTTGCCAAAGCCACGAATTGTCCCTAAAATTCCATTTTTTTTAAAAACCTCGGTATTCTGGTTTTTCGAATATCTTCGCCATCTTTTTGATATTTCCAAGTGTTCTCCAAGTTCCCCTTTAGTAGAACTGGAAGTAGCCCGCGCGCGGAGCTCCGACGTCGGAGCAGCACCTCGATTCAATTAAACTAACATACGTTTAAGCGTTATAAGTGGATTACAATCGGATTATACACTTGCTTTCCGCCACATTCGACTTTCCGCGACCATACGATTCTAGCGGCAAGAATCATTAGCGTTAGAGATTCTCCGTTCAGTTTTTTGAAGAAAAACTGGACCCAATCTCCACACGAAACCTTCGTCGGAAGCACGTAATAACCGATATACAATCCCCGTGCAACTATTCTCTTCGGTTGCCCGTAATGTATATATATATATAACTATATAATTCGTTTAAACTCGTGGAAACACCGTCTCCGGATCGGAGCTGATCCTGTATCCTCTATTGGGGCCCGATCAGGCATGAAGGTAATCGCGAGGGACTGTGATTAAAGTGTTGGACTCTGTGATTAAAGACTCGACAACGGATGTTCGGACGAGCATTTTACTCGATTCATCGTTGTTTGTAGCAATTTCTTGTCTGAATGTTAAACTATTTTAACTTGTATGTCTTGATCAAGGTACCTATTTCCATGGATGATCTCTGTGGTGGAAGTGTCCACTTAACATTTTTTACATCTACCTTTGGTTGCAAAAGAAAGGCAATTGGAATGTGTATGTTACTACTATAGTAGATTTAAGGACTATTTAGGGACCATTTAGGACATTTTTGTATGCAATCTATAATATTGAAAATTCAAAAAATAACCACAGAATAGACGATCGAAATCCAAATGTCCTTTGGTCCAGACTATTGAAAATGCAAAGAATAGCTACATGTTCTTATGTTAACGATCGAATATAATTAATTTTCGAGCGAATTCAATTGTACCAATCGAGGATCCAGACAAATCACCTCAGCTCCTCTCACCAGAAACTTATTTCCTGCACGTTTACAGCGTGTCAAACAGTGACGTGATTATAAATACGTTGGGTAGGGGATAAAGGGAATTGGTGTAGACGATAGAGAACGCGTCGACATCGCTGATCAAGGAGAGACGAATTATATACCGTGGAAAAATCAGTGGGGCTGGTTTGATTTCACATTAAAGAGTCTCCCTCTCCGCGTACTAGCTCTGACTTTTCACCTTAAATGCTATACACACCGAGTCATTCTGCACGGGTGGATTAACACTAGAACTACCAAAGCTCGTAACTCGCAAAGTTGGTAAACTCTTATAAAAATTATTGAATTATTACGGAAATGTGAGAATACAATCCAGTAAGAATATTTGTGAAGGTCAGTATAAATTTTACTTTACTTTGAACACGACAAAACTTTTGATAAATGATACAAATCGCTGACATAATTTTAGTTCAATAAATTAACATATGATAATCTAAATTTGTGCAGTGTAAAAATTTGTTGTAAAACTTTTATTGCAATATTGTATAATCGAAGAAGTTCATTAATTTATGAATTTGCATATTTTCAATAGGCTACCTCTTTAACCAACTCGATGAAAATAAGAATACGTTCATCTTTGATAGTTCTAGTGTTAAAAATTCAATTGTACCCGCGATTATTGGATATATCGTGATGGACAAGAGAATATTTTCTTTTTTTTTTAGTGCGGCCGCTATGTTAGCTAGGACAGCGTATACCGGACTAGTATACAATATGTATAGAACAATAATAATAATTACACATATATAACGTACATATACATACATATTAAAGTTAATCGTAAGGATTCGTGTGTCGTCGATTCGTTCCAAGTATACGTCTGGGGAGGGGGGGGGGGGGGAGAAATTTTATAGAATTTATCAGGGGGGTTGGCGCGAAAGTATCGAGAAGGCAGTGCTGAAAAAAAGGGTGTTTGTATGTGTGACGAGTCACCGATGAAATGACAGGACTTCGATGAATGTATCGATAATTCGAAGAAATTGAACACACGATAGACTGATGATCCGATACCTTCGCCTAGTGTTGGGACTGATATTGCACCGATGCCATCGATACCTGATCGTGAATTTCGATCGCGTATCTAATAATATCGAAGATATAGGCATCGAAAAGAATCGTTACTTCCTCGATACTTGTACGATAATATGAATACCGATTTGATACTTCAACCAAAGTACAAACGCAGATTTGATACATCAAGTATCGATACCAATACATATAAACGAATTAGGAATCCCTGTGTCCATAACAAACCCGAAATAGTTGTTCACGGTATCAATACCTACTAGGTTGCTATAGAATGCTATATAATACCAAGTATCCAAGATTTCGATGCCTTTCGATACTTTCCATTGAATATTTCGGGTATCGTAATCGTTTGAGTATCATTAATTATATGTATCGTATCAGTCCCATCACTTCCCTTCGCCCTTTTGTCCCTTACCACCTGTGAACGAAAAAAGAAACAATATATAGCATCCGGCAGTTGAGCAAAAGATATAATTATCTCGTTAATCCATTCTAAATTCTCCACGATCCGATAGAATCGATACTATCTTCTAGCAAGGCTGGAATCGTTCGCTCGAGATCGTCGATTCGTCGAGACCGCTGGAGGGTTCTCCATTCCTCGGACTTTTTCGATGTTTTGTTTTTTCTTTTCCTTTTTTTCTTTTCGATTCCCTGGGTTAATTCGAGGCTGCCCCGTGCTTTTTAACTGCTGTGACTGTACGCGGTGTTCGTGTACGGGCCGCTGTATATGGACGAGCCGGTCGTCGAGACGCTCTTGTGCCGTCTCTTCGCGAGCAGCACCAAAATGGCGGCGACCACCGCGAGCATCAGGATCAGACCGGCGATCGCGATACCGATTGCGAAGCTCCTCTGCGATATGCAGATGCTGTTTGGATCGTCGATTGTCTGGAAATCATTGAATTGTTCGTAGTCGATGATTATTACATATTTAATTGTATAAATTAATTTAATTTAATTCATACGGGTGAAAATCTATTTTTACAATATTTGATTTAAAATAATGATAATAATTATGCTACTCTATCATAGAAAACACTGTGATTATACTAATTAAACGGCGAATTTCATGCATTTATCGCGTACACGATTATTTAACATTCCGTGCATTCGAACGTTTAATTAAATTCTCGAACAGAAGGTCAGGCAAACCGGTGTTTCAACACTTTGAAAATTTCTCTCTTTCCCAATCGGTCAAGTTTCGCATTGAATTTCGTCGCGATCATAATTCAAAACCGGCGAAATCACTGGAATACAAATGCTCACCCTTTCTCTGAAGACATCGTCGGTGTATTCAGACTTGGAGCCAATGTCCGAGGCCTCGTTCACGTATAATCCGCTATAAACCTCGATCGTAGCCGGGGTTCCACCGTCCAGCCCCTCGACACCCTTCACAGCGTTGTTCGCTGTGTCCCTGCGTCGTCTTGCCACTGAATTGCACGCAGGCGGCTGAAACCCACGAAAAAATTGATGATTCTCTTTGGATAATTTTCGAAACCACACGAAATCGATCACTTGAGCTTTTAGATGGCTATATTTATATTCAAACCCAATTATTGTTCATTGAACGAAATTTCTCACCCTATTTCAACCCTGAGAAGTCTTCATTAACCTTGTGCTCAAATAAATTGTTTTAAGTAATATTATTTTATTCGAAAGCCTTTACAATGTTACATGAGGAATCTGAATTTCTGTAGTGAGCTTTTTGGTAATTTGTCAGCTTTCAGTTGTAATAAATATGAGTCCAAGAAAAAGATACGAACGTATAACTGAATATTGAAATGACAGTTTTCTAATGTATAATTTTTATGTTTTTCCAAAAAGAATCGGGTGGTATCAATGCACGTGCAGAGTATCCTCCATCTGTAAATCGCTTCTCGTTTCATTCAATATCGCTAAATGATTATTATACCATTAAAGGATCATCGTCGTATAGCGTAACCAGTGGTTGCTTTAAAGGGGAAGGGCCCAAGGGGCATATAATCCGTGTGAAAGCTAACGGGTCGGATGGAATTTCTTATTACCGTGTTGGTACATCCTCCGTCGTGTTTCACGCACAGTCGGACGTTGCACTGATAGTAGACGCTCGCTGTATAGGGGAACTTGTGTGCCTGGAAGTTCACCCGAGCCTCCGTTTTGTCCTCGTTGTACGTGAACTGTCCCATTATCTCGCCGTCCACGGGGCAACTAGAACGAAAATCGAATTTTTGAAAACATATTTTCTGGTATTTTATTATTCTTCTTTATCTCATGTTTTGACTTGATTTATAATTTGTAGACTGCGGATTTTTATGCAAAATAACATTTTCTACAGTAATTCACAAAGTCAAGTAAATTGTGTTTCGTAATAACCAAAAAAAAGTCGAATTTTTCTGAAAATTATTTTCTGGTACCATCTTTTTCTATTTTATCAGGCTTTGCCTTCGATAAGACTGAAAGTTCAAGAAATTTCCTTTAGATTCAGAGCACATCTGTAATTTTCTTTTCCATGAAATTTAAGAATCATCGTATATTTTTTTAATGGTGTTTTATAATAATTTTGTAAAGATTCTTAGTTGATTTTGACAAGTATGTTACAGAAGTTTCGTTGAATCTTTTTTCAAAAGATCTTATTTCGCATAGCAAACGTGTTATGTAAGTATGTCCAAAGTTTTAGAATCGTAAAATATAGGTCGAAAACTTGTACAATTCGTTGAATTTGAAATTTTGGCATTCTCGTGTCGTGTTGGACAAGTCGAGAGGGAAAGTGTCCGCGCCGACAACCTGTCGTCGTCGCATCAGCTGATTTGCTTATGAAAAGAAGTCACTGAACCGGGCCCCGCTTTGTGTCATGAATTCCGGCCATTGAATAATTCATCGAATGCTCTGACGCTGTCAATTCGTTCGTACGCACGGTGGAATTGTTCTTTTGAACACTTTTTTGTCCATTATTAGATATCTACTTGGTAGGAACGTGAAGCACAACGATGAAGAAATTTGTAAGAGACAAGGATATTTACCAAATGGAGGGCGTAAAATTTGTCAGAAATAGGAAATATGGAATTTTTGAAAAATAGATAATTAGGAATTTGTGGCAAATAGTGAATGTAGAATTTATGAAAAATAGACAATGAGGATTTTGTGGAGAATAAATACCGGCGAATTTATGGCATTAATGGGTAATTTGTGGAAAATAATGGAATATAAAATTACCCTTCGTCGTTTATGAGCCTTTGCTCCCCCCATCCTAGACCGTCGCGCACCAGGCAATCGGAGATCTTCAAACCGAACATTTCCTGTTTGTCGATGCTAATAACCAAGGTCAGGGGGTCTCCGATCTTCACGTTTTCCGCCACTTGATGCCTCGTTGGATCTCCACTGAAGATCTTCATCGTGCATCCTGGCATAGGAGCTGTTGCCTGTCGAGAAATTGTTTCTTACACATGTCTCTGTACGCTTCTGGATCATTCAACAGCTTATTTGATCACTACAATGCTTCGTGTACAAATGAAATTCATTTTACAAATCAATTGCATATATAAGTCCAATATTCAATTCATACGGATTAAAATGAAGGAAAGATACATTTATATCGTAAAAAGGAAACTAAGGAAACATTACTAATGGGAAGAATTGGTGTTCAGAATTTTAAATATCTCGAAAGTGAAAATATGTGACATTCGGCGTTTTTCCTGGCAATTACAGATACAGAGAAGTAACTTAAATAGATTTTCAAGATATTTGTCCAATTAATATACGAAAAAAAATTTCATTTGTACATTTCGAATATTTTCCATTTTGAAATGATAGTTGTGCCATTGTAAATGTTTCTGAATAATTGCCTAAAGTTCATATAATTAAACTTAGTAGAATTTAGATAATTTAGATGTTTGGTTATAAATGTTTCTGTTGGAATTCGACAAGTTGAAACGAAGGGAATGAATCGTTACCTGCAACGGCAGGGACTGCAACATGGCCACGTGCGTCTGGTCGTTCGTTACCACTTTGTCTCGAGTCTGGTATCGACATCTCACGTGAAAACCCCTGCCCTGGTTCGTGACCAGCTTCAGGTGTGGCTGCACCACGATCGTGTTGAAGTATTCGATACCACCGTCGTCCTGAAACAGACATCAAAATCACCTCTATCAAACGTTTGCCTATTTCGAACCAGTCCACGTGATATCCTCGATTACTAATCACTTAAAGTGGCTGACGCAAATTTTTAATAACTATAAATTTCCTTGAAAATTTAAGAAAACATTCTTAACAGCTTCAACTTTAGATTGCTACCAAAAAATCGCAAGGTCAATATATAAAATTATTGAAAAAGAATCGTGAAAATATTTCTTTTCTACGCGAGTCTTATGGTGCTGTAGTCGATACTGAGAAATTAATCACTTCTTATTTAGTTACAAAAATTCCTTATCCTAGAGGCGAAAAAATTGCATTTTGCTTTAAGATAAATGTTGACCCCCTTCACCCTCCCCAAAAGGGTGAAAAATTCTATTAATCTTGTCGCACAGTTTCCGGTCACCAGGTGTTAAAAGTGTTGATAAATAACCGATTTCACGGAGTTTCGCGGAATGTACGAGACAAAAGGATCATGAAGAGTGGATACATAGTGGTCTTTGGACGATCTCTGTCAGAGTCGTCGAGAAAGAGATGACGAAATCGCTCTTCTCTCGGTGGAGACAAGCCGAGAGCAAGTGGTCCGGTTTTTGCTGGCAGGGTGCAAGGACAGACGGATTGCTCAAAGGAATGAAAGTCCACGGGGGGACAAACGTGATCGGCTGTGTCGTAGCTAGTGACGGGATCGATATTCAATCGATTCAATACTCAAAGTGCTCAGTGGGAAGTATCGATACGATACTTATTGAATACCGATTCTTCTTAAATCGATACCAATCCAATACGGTATCGAATCGAAACCTGTTTGATACTTGACGATAGTATCGATACCTATTAGACATCTACACGAACGATCGATATTTTCGACAGCGTGTTTATCCGAGCCAACTGATGGGCTCGATACCAATACTATTCTGTTTCAAATAATTATTTTCATAACAGTTTCAACCCCTGTAATCAAACCTTCTCTTCTGTAATTACTTGTCTCCACCAAGTGTAATTCACTGACCGAAGTATTAAATAAACCTCTTAACGCTTCGTTTTACGTGTTATTCTATTACCAGACGCTGATGAGATCGGAATTCCATGTCTGTCCCCGATCATCATCCAGTCATCGCTAATCCTCTCGTTCGTGTCGTATTATTACGATAAAACTCGGTCTAATCGATTGCTGATTAATTTTCTTAATCCACGCCGATTAGAAACGATCGAATCAGCTTACATTAGAATCATTCGAGGAACGTTTAGATCCCCTCCATGTGACATTTCATCCTTTTTTCCCGCGTTCCATCGGATCGTTTTTCTTTCGGAGAACGCGTTATCGCTCGTACGAGGTATTTAATTTTCCTCCTGGACGAGCTCCGTCATCGACATCTCGCGAACGATCCATACGACCGATCATTATCATTGATGCGAAACGATAATCGTCGTTAATTAGGTTAACTTGCAATCAAAGTCCCCTTCGTCGCGCACAATGAGCCGTAATCGTTGGACGATGATCATCCTTCGAGGACGCGCGGTTCGATGTTTGCGCAGCTGAGATCCCCTTCTTGGGATATCGATTATGCTGTTCGATTTATTTTCTTACGATCCTAGATGATTGAACGAGTACACAAGGACACCTCGATAATTCACGATGGCAATAGTAATATAACTTTAAATTAAAATTATTTAACGAGGGAAGGTCTCGAAGAAAACTTTTCTATGAGCTTTGGTAGAATGATAAAAGTTGAAATATTGAAGCTAATGATGTCTGATTTTTGGGGACGTACGATCAATAGTCATTTAAGGTTAAATGTATGATCCAATAATCTTGGTTTATCGCAACTTGTGATTTAAAGATACGAAAATAAAAAGAATGTTTTTCTTATAATATTATTAAAATGAAGTAACCATTTTTGTGACATCAAATTGTATACAGAAGTAATGTAAAAAGTAGCTTCCACAAGTAGCTCATAAGGATGTTCGCAGTTTTTCCAAGAAGCTCCAGGTCGTCGTGATCTCATTGTCATTATCGTCGTCAACGTCTTGACGTAACACGGATTAATTACTCTCCTCTGGTTCCCTTGATTCCGTCTTTCTCCCTGGATTATTAAGTCTCTAACGAGGCGCTATAAAAAGCTAACTGAGACATCGTTTAGAAAAAAAAAACGATCCCCTATTTCGCGAAACTAATTACGTCTCATAGGTCGGATAGCATCTCCTGCGAACTAGGAACGAAGTAGGAAGAAGGTGTGACTTCTTGAAGGCAGATTGTGTCCTTTGGGAATGAGATTTCCGTCTGTTTTCGGCCTATCACAGCCTATTCTTCGATGCAACTGAACTCCAGGAAGCGTTAGCTACCATCTTATTCTCTAGTTCTTTGTCCCCTTATACTTGGATTAATGATCAATAGACTCGAGATGTTAAATACCAACGTGTTTATGCTACTATATTTGTTATTCATTATGACAGACTTAGGAACAATATTAGTTTCATAGTCTACTATTGTTTATTATAAAATAGTGAAAATATAAAAGAGTACAAACATGGTGGTTTTAAAGATCTGCTCTTAATATGAAACGCTGTTACAAATTAAAAGTCAAAATTATCATTTAAAATTAAAGTCATTTGTCTTTGTTCTTCATTTGCCATTGTTCTTGTGCTCAACTATTACGCCACGCTGATAACAAAATGAAATTTCGAAAAATATGACCTCGAGAGATAATTTTGCTTATCCTAGTATTTGCTACTTTCAACCAAATAACACTTTCCCCTCACATTTCTTTTTGTATCTTCAAAAAACAAGGGAAATAGTGAATACTATTCGGTACACCCTATACAAGCTGTTAATTTTATGTTATAACTCTGTACTAAAGGGTATTTATCCCGTTAATAAAATTATTATTATTTTAACCGTCGTTGTAAGAGTGTATTGACAAGTCATTTTGACTTACTTGATAGTTCTAGTGTTAAAACCATCTACATCCAGTTTAGTAATTTTGTCTTACTTTCAATACTAACGAAAATCATTTTGTTGCTCGAGTTACCACTAAACCTACCCTTCTTAGAGGTAGGAATTAGTAGACCGGTCATTTTGACCGGTCGTGGTAGGTTTACTGTTGAAATTAACACCCTGTATATCGAGCAGGCAACGACCTTCGCGAGAGGATCCCGGGCGTCCGACCTCAGCAAGGATACTCGCAATCTCCGGTGCATCGGCCCGAGTCCGCCTCGTCAGCTCGCTGACTTTACGTTTCACACCTACCACCCGTGGCAACGAGACTGGGGCCCGGCCTATGGTTTTATAGGGAACGACAGGAACTCCTCCAGCAGGTCCCAGGGCCCCTCTATTTACGGGCCTGGCCACGATTCCTCGCCAGGCAACGCAGCGCTTGGCGAACACCCTAAAGGCGTTTGCTGGCTGTGTCACACGATCCACGGGGACTACGTGCGTGGCAAAAAGACGATCCGTCGAGTGTTTTCCACCATCTTTTCTCTCGTACCCTTTTTAGTATTGTGTTGCAGAGACCATTGCTTGGGGGGGAGACGAACGTGACGGATTTTTGCAATTTCGAGTCTTGCTCTCTGGAGGGTTTGATTTTTCTTGCGGTTCTGCGGAGGAATTTATTCCAGTGAAGTCACTGGGTTTGTACTGCGTTAGAAGTTGTTACTTGGGACCGATCTGGGGCCATCTTGGAGCACTGAAGTGATATTACACTAATGACGCCTTGAAGACGGCTTAACGTCTTACATATACTGTATAGTACGATCCTTCAATTGTAAGCTTGTTAAAAAATTACAGCTGAAACGTGTCTCAATTATGATGTAATTTTTAATGGTACCACCATTGTCGCAATTAACGACTAGATTGTGCTCGATCGTGTATACGAACCTTCGTCGAAGGTGTTAAAATTGGAGTCGAGTCGGTAGCCAATCTGCTGAACGGTTCATTTAACTCGGCAATCATGTAGATTTGAGCCGAGGGGCGGTGCCTGAAACGGCCCCAGATCACTTTTAGCACTCCGTGTTGTGTATTACCTATTCACACCTGAATCCTTGTTTACCACAAATTGCTGGAATCATTACCGAAGGTCGTACGGCGCCTACGCAATACATACCTGGCTGGGGTAACCACCAGGTGGCTCATTGCTCGGATGAGGTCACAAGGGTCCTCAATTAATCCGATCCACGGTTACGTAACCGGGTGAACTGTTGTTAGGGACGAATCGATCCAAGTAGATACAAGAAAATAATCGATACTTTAGTTTCGATACCGAGTATTTTTAGTATCGATACTTTCGGTTGTGATATATACTCGGTATCGAAAATAAGTACTTGTATCGAATGGAGCGAGTAACCGATTAGAAAGCCAATAAATGTAAAGGTAGTTTTTGTGCAGTTATATTACATTTATTAATAAATTAATACAACATATCTTCGTTAAATTCAGAAATGGGCAAATTCATTATCTAGATAAAGAGTTTCGAATAACGAATAAAGGCCGACATTTGACCAAATCCAATGCCAAGTAGTATCGATACTTTTAATCCAATACTAAGTAGATATCGATACTTCTTTTGGATACAAGTTATGAGTAAGAGTATCGATACCTTGACGGTATCGGTTTATCCCTAACAGTTGTTGCCATCGATCTGCGTCTTGGATCACGGCTGGTAATTTTATCGCGGGGACGTGGCACACACCAGTCTCTGTTTTTCTTCTTTTGTTTCGCCTACTGTCTTCTACACGAGGATAATTTTCCGACGCTTCGTGCGATCCACACGGGGATCCTAGTTCTCCTGTTGCTTGATTATGATCGACGAGTATCGGTGTGACCGTATGGGTTCGGTGGGATTCGAGTTTTCCCACGAGACACTTCCACCACGCACGCGTTTATTAATACAGATTTATTTTCAAAGTCGATTTTTTTTAAAAGAATTTATTCCATATTTTTGACTTATTTTCTCATGTAGAATCACCCCTTCACCGGTTGTACCATTAATACTAG